TTCACTAAGGAAAATGTTGTTTAAAATTACGCCAGGAACCTCCCATTTCAATATCTTACATTAGAAATTATGCTTTGTTAAAAATTCCTTATGATTGAGAAAAACTCTACAATTATCATTTTTTCTAAAAGCTCATTGCTTTAAGAACACAGTTTTTTATTACACGTCCTAAAATTTTAACAAAGTTCTCACCATTAATTAAGACCATTGAACGTTTCGATACCAGAAGGAATAAAAATCCATGGGGTATTGTTTCACAGTGAATTAAATCGCATCGATGAAGTCTTTTGGTTAAAAAAAAAAATATCTAATCGTACGCAGTGGCAGTGACCAATAAGTGTTGGTTCGATGGAGACTTTGAAGAACGGCGATCAAAGTGATGTCACAGTAGGAAGAGCACACGAATTACTGCGTCAGAGTAAGAATTTCAATTATAGTCTAAACGCACCACGCGACGAAATTGAACTGCAGCCATGCGTTGGACGTTACCAACGCGCTTTCATATCACGTCGAATTCTTCGGATGCCGATTATCCAAACGTTTCGATTTCTTCTTTCATTGGAAAGCAAATATTCTATAATGTTTCAATTCTAAGCTTCCTATCTGACGATATTCAATTCTTACGACCCTCTCTAGGCTTCATTCGCTGCCATAAAAACTCTTGTAAATTCCTGAAATTTCTAACCCGAGGAAAACAGCACGTTTTACATATTTTATACTCTCAGAAAGCAGAAGCTCGCACAGCGATGCTTATTTTCGCTAATAGGTTAATTCCATTAAATATTAACAAGTTCTCATGGGACGAAATGGGACGTTCTGCTCGAATTGTCGCGGGAGAAGTTTTCCGCGATGGAAAAAGGTACGTTGGAAAAATCCGGGGAAACAGAAACAGAAACAGAACGGCGGACATAAAAAGTAGTTGAACTCGTCCGAGTCCACAGTGGTAATAATTGACGAAGCTCGAGTGAATCTTTCGAAAGTCGAACGGGACAGGATTCTTTGAAATTCTTGTCAACGCCGTGTATATGTCCACCGATCCATCCTCCCAGGGGGTGAGAGGGGCGTGGGAGGAACGGTTCCTCTCTCGATAGAAAGTTAAATTAAACTCGGTCTCGCTCTGTTTATATCTAAACGTTCCTTTCAAAGTAAACCCTCGTGAACTTGCACAACGTCAACTTAGTAACTTTTACAACGTGTGCAGGGCTGAACCCAATGGAGGATTAAAATTTTCCCTTAAAAGCTTCCAGAGAAGCGTAACGCGAAGTTTCTTCCGCGGCGATGCAGATATACTTAACTCTCGCGAAACTGGCTCGTCGACTATTTATGAAAACTGTATCTCCGGGTATGCTCGTCCGAGAAACTCCACGGTTGCCGTCGACTACTCTTGAAGAAAAGCGCGCCGGGCCGACGACAGTTCCGTCGTCGGGAAAAAAGGACCAGAGGCCGAATCACGGAAGCTTATTTGCAGCTGTGACGCTCGACAG